ATCAGTCATAAAATTACTGACATCCTCCCTTGGCAATCTGCCTTTGGAAAGAGATGCTTATATCTAATTATGGCAAGTGTTTCCTCAAGCAAATTAGCTTTGTCTGTTAGAAAGACTTGACCCAAAACAAAGGAGCCCAGCCCCCAATGTATACTTGGTGTATTGTGACCAATCTGCCAATCTTTGAAAGTAACTGTGAATCAGTTTGAGGGGTACAGCTCTATTCAGATCACATGATATGAGTATTAGTGTCCAACATGAGTTAGCTCTTATTTTTTCATCACCATGAAGCAAATGCCTGTTTCTGCTGTTTAAGATGAAAATAGAAACTCATGATAAACAAGTTGGTGCCTCCACCATTATAAGTCCTTCCTAACCCACCACACATTCCCATGTTGTCATCCCTCTAGCTTATTACGCTGCAGCACAGATCCTGGCATGGCCCTCATATGTTTTCCCACCAATATCCATCTTCCTCCTTCCAGTGTGAAAGTCTCTTGTGGACAAAGTCCCCATCCTATTCCAGTTTGGACCCCCAGCACTTAGTACAGTACCTAGCACACAGTGGGCATGGCACTCAGTGAATGTTTTTGAACTAATTCTTTAAGCTTTATTATTTGTGATTTTTTTCCCCGTATTGCCTACATAACCACCATGAAACTTGGATTCTTATGAAGGACTTTCAGTGATATAAAATGCTTAGTAAAGGTGGTTTAAGACATTTGTATTGATATTACCAAAACTTCTTGGTTAAGACATTTGTATTGATGCTACCAAAAGCTCTTGGTGGAGGGACCCGAGCCAGCTCTCTGATACGCAGGGGAAAGCAAAGCAGATGTCTACTCTTCTTTCCCCAAGTCAGGCATCAGCAAATTGATGAGGGGACAGAAGAGGCCACCACAGGAACTGGTCATCCAGCTACACATACATCCTGAACCCTCCCTCTAACCCAAGATGAACTGTGTGAAACTGGGTTTCTGAACCACAAGACAGGTGGACTGTCCTTTCCAAAGTCAGGTTTAGAGGAGAATCTTCAACTGGCCATTTAGCTCAGTTGGTTAGAGTGCGGTGTTGATAATACCAAGGTCAAGGGTTCAGATCCCCATACCAGCCAGTCACAAAAAAAAAAAAAAGTAAATCTTCACCTTGAGTCAAAAATCCCCTGCAGGTCATTGAACATGCCCACTAGGATTTGCCTGCATCACAGACATCTTGAGCTGAAAGGGAGTAAAACCTTCAATACTTTGTTACAGGGAAGTCAGGAAAGAAGTACATGGAATTAGACTAGAGCAGTGTCTTTTCTTTACAGATATTTTTCACACTATAGCTTAACATAAACACCATCTTTTTCCACACCTCAAAGCTTTGCATTGCCAACAGATAATTCATAACTTCAGAGGTATATAATTTGGAAAACTAATTCTGGGTGATTAGGGAGATGAGTACTCCGGGAGAGATTTCCTGGAATTCTTTCTACTTCACCATTTACAAGAAACTGGCACTGAGAAAGCATCTGCACACCTTTTGCTGCCTGGAGGACTTTGTGTTAAGCTTTGTTCTCTGCAGCTACATGTTAAACATGCTTAAGCAGTAAGTAGTGGATTGAATTATGTTCTCCCCAAACTAACTGAAGCTTGAACTGTGTCCCCAAAGTCTGATATATTAGAAACTTATCCCCACTGTGACTGTTAACAGTGTGATTTGTATTGACATTACCAAAACCTCTTGGTTAAGACATTTATATTGACGCTACCAAAACCTCTTGGTGGAGGGACACGAGCCAGCTCTCTGATGCTCAGGGGAAAGCAAAACAGATGCCCACTGTTCTTTCCCCAAGTCAGGCATCAGCAAATTGATGAGGGGACAGAAGAGGCTACCACAGATGGGCACATGCAGGAACTGGTCATCCAGCTGCACACACATCCTGAACCCTCCCTCTAACCCAAGATGAACTGTGTGAAACTGGGTTTCTGAACCACAAGATAGGTGGACTGTCCTTTCCAAAGTCAGGTTTAGAGGAGAATCTTCAACTGGCCATTTAGCTCAGTTGGTTAGAGTGCGGTGTTGATAATACCAAGGGTCAACGGTTCAGATCCCCATACCAGCCAGTCACACACACACAAAAAGTAAATCTTCACCTTGAGTCAAAAATCCCCTGCAGGTCATTGAACATGCCCACTAGGATTTGCCTGTGTCACAGAGAAATCACAGACATCTTGAGCTGAAAGGGAGTAAAACCTTCAATACTTTTTGTTACAGGGAAGTCAGGAAAGAAGTACATGGAATTAGACTAGAGCAGTGTCTTTTCTTTACAGATATTTTTCACACTATAGCTTAACATAAACACCATCTTTTTCTACACCTCAAAGCTTTACATTGCCAACAGATAATTCATAACTTCAGAGGTATAGAATTTGGAAAACTAATTCTGGGTGATTGGGGAGATGAGTACTCCGGGAGAGGTTTCCTGGAATTCTTTCTACTTCACCATTTACAAGAAACTGGCACTGAGAAAGCATCTGCACACCTTTTGCTCCCTGGAGGACTTTGTGTTAAGCTTTGTTCTCTGCAGCTACATGTTAAACATGCTTAAGCAGTGTAGTGGATTGAATTATGTTCCCCCCAAACTCACCGAAGCTTGAATTGTGTTCCCCAAGTCTGATGTATTAGAAACTTATCCCCACTGTGACTGTTAACAGTGTGGGAAATCCNGGACCATTCATGAATCAGGGCAGCATCATAGGGCCTCCTATAACAATACTAATTTCTTTCTGTCTCTCTTTCTTTCTTTCTTTTCTTGGCAGCTGGGCCATACTGGGATCCAAACCCATGACCTTGGTGTTATTAGTGCTATGCTCTCCCAAGTAGGCTAACTGGCCCACACAATGATGCTAATTTGAGTGTTACTTGCTTGGTGCCTTTTATTGCCCATGTCAAAGATCACTACCAAGGAAGGCAGAACATGTCATATACGTTACACAAACTTCTTGGCCTCTTTGTACTTTAGTTTCCCCATCTGAAAAAAATAAATGGATCTTAAGACATACTTTTCAGCATTCTTAATGGCTTATACCCAGCTAACCAAGAACTGTATGGTGTTTTTATACATAAATAGTTTTTTACATTTGTATCTTCTATTTCACTTACAGCTCATTTAAAAACTGAAACCCGTGCCATGCCTGAAATGTTCCGAAGCTCACTTCACTGATTAAGTTGCAACGAAGATTTCTACAAAAATAAATAAATAAATAAATAAATAAATAAATAAATAAATAAATAAATAAATAAATAAATAAATAAATAAATAAATAAATAAATAAATAAATAAATAAATAAATAAATAAATAAATAAATAAATAAATAAATAAATAAATAAATAAATAAATAAATAAATAAATAAATAAATAAATAAATAAATAAATAAATAAATAAATAAATAAATAAATAAATAAATAAATAAATAAATAAATAAATAAATAAATAAATAAATAAATAAATAAATAAATAAATAAATAAATAAATAAATAAATAAATAAATAAATAAATAAAAGACACAAGCCAAACAAGAAGAAGAAAAAAGATATTCACTCAGAACATTTATCCTTTGGCAGTAATTCTAAATTTATACACAATGAAACATAATCTCAAT